ACAAGTTTGCGCGTTTTCCGCTAAAAATCACCCTTTGTCGCTACTCCTCTTTTCGAAAACACTCTTCTTAAAGCCACAGCCAGCATTGGAATACTTGGCGTTGACATATCGAACGACGTTCAGTTTCGCGGTCATTTGGAGGGAAAGGCTAAATTAGCCTCCAAAAAGCTTGGTGTGCTCAGCAAGGCGAGGCGGTACTTCACTCCGGGCCACCGCATGCAACTATATAAAGCGCAAATTCGGCCCCACATGGAGTACTGCTCTCACCTCTGGGCGGGGGCTCCCCAGTACCAGCTCCTTCCACTTGACCGTATACAACGCAGAGCGGTTCGAATCGTCGACGACCAATCCCTCTCCGAGCAGCTTGATCCTTTGGCGTTGCGTAGAGATGTGGGGTCACTCTGCATCTTCTACCGCATTTACCATGGAGAGTGTTCAGAGGAGTTGTTCGGATTAATACCTGCAGCTGAGTTTCATCATCGGACGTCGAGACAGAATACGAAATTCCACCCGTATCACCTCGACGTCCGCCGTTCCACAACTGAGCGTTTTTCAAGGCAGTTTTTGCCGCGCACCACCACTATGTGGAATCAGCTGCCCACTGAAGTATTTCCGAACCAATTCGACTTAGGGTCCTTCAAGAAAAGAGCGTACCAATTCTTAAAAGGCCGGCAACGCACTCGCGAGCCCTCTGGCATTGAGAGTGTCCATGGGCGGCGGTGTCACTTAACATCAGGTGAGTCTCCTGCCCGTTTGCCCCCGTTGTATAAAAAAAATAAAAAAATAAAAAAATATGCATAGAAAATTTCATAAGAATCGGTCGAGCCGTTTCAAAGGAGTATGGGAATGAACATTGTGACACGAGAATTTTATATATGTATTAGATTAATTCAAAATTGAGATATACATATAGGTTATGTGGTAGACGTGGGTACGTTTTATTATAGATAATTGTAGTTTTCGTATAAATATAGATATGACACTATATCGATAAACCCACATCCCTATCCCTACGGATACTTCCTTACCAATTAAGCAGAAGACAGAACCACAAACATATTCCATTACTTTATGAATACAACGCAATATGACCCTTACACTGCAGTTTGGAGAGCTGAAATTGTCTAAACGGAAATGGGAAATTATTTTGGCTAATTTAGTCGAAATATTTTTAAATGGTATTCTATTTTGACATTAGTGTTAATAGACCGCAGGTGTTCAATGGAATGCTGAGTATTTAAGGGACGATTCTCTGATTTACTAGCCCCTGATTTTTCATGTAATGTTTAGGCTCTACGGGAAATAAGTCTACTTAATTCAGTCCGTTTTTTATTAATCAGGAAACGAACAAGAACGAAATTAAATTCATTCATTATTTCCCCGACGTTTCAACGCCTTCTGAAGTGAAATGATTTTCTTTCAATGTGAAAATTTCGTAGATTTTCTTGCCATTAAATTTTAATCTTTGCATTTGTCAGTTCAAGTTTACTAAAGTTTCTGTATTTTAAACATTAATATTTCAAAGCTTTATGGTGATCTGAGACTCTAGTCGATTGTTCGTTTCTTCATATAAATTATTAGTATACAAACTTGTGTGTGCAGCCTTTTTAATGTTTAGGATATTTACCACACAGCGAATTTTAGATCCTTGTTTAGGGGCTAATAGGCACGTGACTACTAGACTGTTTTCCGACCTCTTTGTATTTGTATCTGTTTTCTATTTTTTGTTCCCACTCTACATAGACGGAATAAAAACTAAATGAACTGAATAAATAATGGTTAAACCGACACTTTAGCATTCTTGTCAAAGAAAAACATCAATTAGCAAATATGTATTTTTTGTACGAACATGTGCGTCAAATGATGAGGTATCTTGAAGTTTAGGGAAAATATGTTCGTAATAGTCACAGAAGTACGTCCGGAATTCGAGCAAATGATTTAGAAGCACCGGAATGCACATTAATTATACCGAAGGTAATAAAACGAGTAACGAAACGTAAAACACTATATAGTGTAAAATATGTAAGTACTTAGAACTTCATACGTAACCGTCAATTTCGTAGAATTAATTCATGACTGATTTGCTACAGGATAAAATGAAGCTTTGAAAGCTTGGCAGTAGGATAACCCATGGGTCTTGGCTTCAAATATTCTATGATTTGTTCTTTATGCAAGCAGGTGATCAGTCTACTGTGTCTGGTAGATGTATGCGCAAGTATTAATTACGCGTATATATGTACATATATATGTGCATAAATACTGCAGGCCGGGTATGAACGCAAAACCTTAGGATTAGGAATCGCATACTTAACGCTATACCTACATATATACACGTACATATAACGTTGTATATATATGTGTTGGTTAAGTAAATAAGTTTAAGAAACTTTATATAAGGATCTTGTATGATTAGAAGCTTCGAGAACTAATTTATTGAAAAATTATAAATAAATTCGACATTAAATTGCTATAGTGAGAAAGAATTGACGTTTAATTCCGTTACAAGTTATTTAAAAGCGTAAACCAAATGCAATAATAAGAAAATCTTTCATTATTATGAGACGTGACCGAATCGTTTAACGATAATAAACTATATTAATATCACAGCCTCATTTATCAACTAAAACCAGTCAATCCTCAAATCACAAAGTTATTGGATTTATTACACGCAACAACAGCCTTTATGCAATTACTATAAAGTATATATTTCCGTACATAGATTTCACTCAATTTTTCTTCGCACCCCTCGTAATTAACTATTTTCCCTTCCGAATACAAAATACCTATTTATTGCAATGTATGAAAGGGACGGTGAGAGGGTTTTGGGAGAGTGGGAAAGAGATAATTGTTAGGGTTAGTTTCATGGTTAGGGTAACGTCTGGTGACATTTGTGGGTTATTCTCGGGATGTGTATTTAAGTTTATTATTTTTCTTCCTTGGGGTCTGTGCTTAGCTATTAATAACGAATCGTTTAATATGATACACTAAAAATAAACTAGTGGCGCTACAAGCTTTTTAGGTCTGGTCCTCAGATTTCTGTAACTGTTTCATAATCATCTATCAATCTAATAAGCAAGTAGGTGATCACCCTTCTGTGCTTGACGTCGACTTTTTGGGTCTTAGGCAATCCGGATGCCTCACAATGCTTTCCTGCACCGTTCGAGCAAAATATGTTAATAGCGCATATAGACAGTGCACAACCGAGCACGGAACCTACGACCTCAGGGATGAGAGTCGCACGCTGAAACCCCTAGGCCATCTCCTCTATAAATAAACAGAATATAATATATATTAACACAATGTACATTAATGAACATCGAAAAAACAATGACTCTATCTTATTTATTAAGAAATGAGGCATTAATTGTTTTGCGCCAGCCTCTTAAACCTTTCCTTCCTTTCCAACGAAGTGTACCTACTTGGTGCGAACATTGTATATTAACATATATAGATACTTATATACACCTTAAAATAAACTCGTTTCTTTTCTTTAATTAAGCTTTAAAATCTTTTAATAATACTATTTTGTAAGAAAGCTTGTTTCCTTTTTTATATTTTAAATTTAAGTTTATTTTTATGCATATGCAGCTTTTAAAGTGTTTTATGTTTTTTTGCAAGATTTAGCTTCTGTTAGCTGATTCATAAATTGCCTACCTAAAATATTTTATTCATTATAATTTAAAGTTTATTTGTTACAATATTTATAAGATAGGCTACTGTTAGGTTATATTTGGGTTAAATTAGTTTACCTAGAGGTTGTGTTATAAGCAAATTCCATCTTGGGTAAAAGTCAAGCTATTTTGTTAGTAAAATTCCCTAGACGTAAAGACGTCCCTAATGGTAAATATGTATTTACCTAAGTCTAATACAATTGTAAAATTCTGTGCGATTTTATTATGTTATAGTACACCTAATGTTATGTAATGCCTACTGCCGCCCATGGACACTCACATTGCCAGAAGGCTTGCAAGTGCATTGCTGCCATTTTAGAATTGGTACGCTTTTTTCTTGAAGGACCCTATAGTAAGTTAAATTGGTAAATACTTCAGTGAGCAGCTGGTTCCACATATTGGTGGTTCCAAAAACTGCCTTAAGAAACGCTCAGTTGTGGAACGACGGACGTCAAGGTGATACGGATGGTATTTTAAAAGTAAACAAATTACCTTTATACCATTGTTATCACGTCGTAAAGAATTAAAAACTGTCATAGTTTCAGCATTAATCTTAGGTCAAATTGATTGCGGTTGATCTGATGCATATGCAATTTTATTTAGAAGGTCATCAGAATATCTTAGGAATAGTAAAAGCTATGAATTTGGCTACATATTGGAGGAAACTAAACTAACGAATGACTTAATTTAAAGCACTCTTATTTTCCGATTTATTTAAATTAGATATATAAACTCTTACTCTCTCTTGACTTTCACAAATACTATATTATGTAGATTTCTAGGCTTACTTTATCGTAGGATAAATTGTCTTACATTTTAAAGCATTACAACAATTTGACAGCCTCTGGTAATGAATTACAATATTATAATAACAATAAATCCCACGACTAAACGCCTAATTGCAAGTTGTAAATCAGTCGCTAATTTGTTACGGATCCGTAAACAGAATTTCAGCTAAACGTCGCCCTTTGCCCCTAATCACATAAAAGGCACCGATTCTCAAAAGGATTTAACAAGCGGCATTCACTGCTCATTATATTTTTATACTTCTGGTGGACATAAAGTGCACGATCAAAACACGCGAACCCCTACAAAAGGTAATTATGTTTTGATTCCAACAAAAAATTCGAGTATCACAAAGGAGGCTAACGAGATAAGAGCGTGCTAAATCGCCCCCTCTCCACCCGCGCTCGGATCAATTCGCTCTCAAACGGTCGATTGGCTGAGTGAGACGGCCTATAGAAGGCGGGACCAGACCGAGCCGTGCCCCCAATGAGGCGAGGGTAACCGTCGCTTCTCGCCGGCCAGTCAACCTCCGACCGCGCCCGCATGCGTACACGATCCAACGATCGCGACTGTGAAACTGTGCTAAATGGAACTGACTGGCGTTCAATGTTAAAGCAAAGATACGAGGAACAAGAAGTGAATATGGCGATACAGAGTGTCTCTAGATATCCCAGCAGCCCGGTGGAGGCGACTGAGCCCCCCAAAACCTCCAGAATTAGCTTCAGCGTAGCATCTATTTTGGCGGACACAAAATCCAACCAAGTCGATGAGACGGAAATGATCCGGCACCATAGAACGATACCAGAATCACCTTTACGACAGTCACCTGGGGCACAACCGGAACTTCCAGGAGCAAAATCTGTGTCTCCACGGCCATCATCACAAACGCTACCCTTGAATTTGAATGTGTCTGCGCCTTTGACATCGTCGGACGAAGAATATGAGGATTCTGTCAATCAGGAAGACTCGATAGTAGATGTAGAAGACATACAGAATGGGCACAGCGATGATGAAGATAGATCAACGCCGAATGATAAGGAGAGATTAGGGCCGATTCGACCGACACCGTTCAGCGCATTGGCGGCGGCGGCGGCGGCCTATCACGGGCTGGGATGGGCTGGTCCCTCTCCCGTGGTACCGTCTTTTGGACCACTGTTCCAGTCACATTATGGAGGACACTTAACAGGTAAGCTAAATTTTTTTGCATAGATAGAAACAGATAAAATAATTATACATGAAACGTATATAGTTTATTTTAGTTTAGTTAGTATCTATTTGTTTCTGAATACTAAGCAATAAAAAAAGGATTTGCCATTACTTTTGACACATGAAATAGCAAATGCTGCAATCGCTTGAATCTTGGAAGAATACGGATTTATTTTATTAGTAGACTTGTCGTTTCTGTCTACAATGTAAATACTAATTTTGATAATAAATATTAAAAAAATAATATATTTTTTTTTATTGTTAAACAATCAATAATTATTTAAGCATTTTTCGTTAAATATATAGTTTCAAACGTTTTAATTAGAACATTTCCCGTTGAACTAGTAAGCAAAGTCTCAACAGTAATTTAAAACAACACAGTCAACAGATCATCAATCACTTTTTGTTGTCTTTGCTCTCTTGACATTATCAATGCTTGTTAAACGCTACTTTCTAGTTTTTTTACTTGATTTTCTTGAGCGTTTAATATTTATAAGTATATATGAAAGAATTACTATTTTTATATTAATGCTATTAGGACTATTAAATTAATCCGTAAGATACAGTTGTATTGTTCGATAATATATATAATTTTTATGGGGCTTTTTCGCTCAGCCGGCTTTTTGGTCCCAGTTTTATTCGACTTAAGCAAACTTTTGGTATTATATACCTATTCAAGGATGCTCTTAGGGTAAGATTAGAGTTCAGACGTTGCTTAGTTAGACTTCGGTATGTACAATCCAATACATAACGTACCGTAGATATGTAAAAGTATAATATTTTATATTTTATTTATTTTTTAGAATATCAAGTAAGTTTTAGACTTGCCATTTATGGTATCTAATCTCGTATCATCCATATAAAAATACTTATGATGAAACACCTCAATAACATAATTATGAACATTTAATTGCGAATTTGAATTAATTAAGAACAATTATATGAGATTTCATTCTAAATGTGTTTGTATAGAATGCTAAATAGGTGTAATTATAATGTACTATTACTTTTGCTCTACAATGTTGTAGCTAAATGGCTCGACGATTAGTCTTATTAGAATAGTAATAACGCCAATCGTAGCGTAAAGGATTATTACTTGTTGGATTTCAATTATAAAAAATTCTCAATTTTCTAACTATTTAATTAATTAGAAAATGGACCAATTTGTTATGATGTTGGCTAACTGATTTACTGCAATAATACAAACATAATAGACATAGACATAGACATAACATTTATTACAAACGAAAACACACACACATAAACACACAAAATAACAATACTTAAAGAAAAAAAAAAATAAGACATCAAAAACAATAAAAATTTAAAATTTAAATTAAAAATTCCCTTTTGCCATTCGGTTCGCTTCCAGTGTGCAATGTTGTGTACTGTGGTTGTAATTGGCCCTGGCTCAGCATTATGCTAAGGAGCAAAAAGTTCCACAGCGCTTCATTCTGCCAGAGATTACAGCAGCTAGTTTGCGCCTCTAATAAAATAAAATAAAATAATAATAATACCAAGTAGAAAATAATAATAATAATATTAAAGTTAGAAGTGTGAGTAATGAAAATCGTGTGTAACGGTGTATAATAAATAAAATAAAATTAAAAGTTAAAAATAATTGTAAATAAGTAGAAATTTTTAGTTTTTGTTTTTTGGGATACGTTAATACGTTTAAGTATCACTAGAATTTTGTTTTTGGTAACTGTTTTATTAATCGGGATCTAAAATTGACTGAATTGACTGAACTCTAAACCGAATCGTGCAATAAACAAGATATTTTAACTATTAAATATAAATATTGAACCCACCTAGTAGAATATTAAATGGGTTAGACTGTTATTTGTAAGAGAATGTAAAACAAATCCTTTAACAAATGCAAAGTCGGCCATCTTGTGCGCGATTGTTTTCGCATTTCGACAGATTTGATATTTATAGGGTTGAGCTTGTTTCGCCGGTTTCGAAGGATTTTCGGATCAAGCCCTTTGTAGACATTTTGGAATTCACTTGAAAATTTTCTTTGTTCAATATTGTAGTATTCGTAATAGTATTTAGTAATTGAGACAACAGTAGTACTTCCTAATGTTGTTGTTAATTTTAATCAGAGATTATAGGCGCCATATAAAGTATTATTAAGCATAATACTAATTTTAAAGCTTCAATAGTTAAACGATTTTATAGTTTAGTCAATTATAAGAACTTCGTAGTGAAATGAAATGAAATGAAATAGTTTAATGAAATAGTTTATTCTTGCAAGTAAGACTATATAAATCACTTTTACAATGTCTTCCTAAACTAGATGAAGTCGACATTTCCTAACTGACTGCCCTGAGAAGAAATGTCGAAACAAACTCGGGGGTCTTAGTCTCTTTTATAGTCCAGATAATACAATAATAAATTAATAAATTGGTGTAAACAAATGCAGAGTATTTACTGGACTGGTCTTTGGAAGAAAGAACCAGATCGATCTGAGCAAGCCTGTGCCAGCAGACGGCAAGCATGCCCCGAATAGCTCATGCAGCTCAACCATTTTTGAAGGAGCTGCACAACCCGGTACACAACAATACTGCCAGTGGCACCATAAAAATATGTGGGGCAACAACTCACTCAGATCAGATAGTTTTTTGTTATAAATATTATTGTATGCACCTACCATAAAAGTAAAGATATAATATATTAATTATAAGACAGTTTTAGGTTCTAATGCGTATTAAAAATGGCTGCAGTCAATTATGTATGGGAAAATATTCTACAGTTTATGCATACATGCAATGAAAGTGTTTAGCATTCCGTTAACTGAAAGTAGGTAAACATGTCGGAGCTAGGTACACTATCATTTGAATAGCATTACCTTAACTAAACAGAGAAACTGAGTATTTAAACCTCTATTTTCAATTAACAAATACTTCGTTTAAAGAACAAAATACTAGCAATATATAAATCTGAATTTCTTAAATTAGTTATATGTAAGTATATAGAACGTCACGAAAATATTGTTCGAAGTTTTTTCATGATCATATGAGATCAAGTGTTCTACATGTATGGATAACATATTTGTATAAACACACTATCGGTAACACCAAGATTTTATAATTTATATGCAATTTGGATATGTTGTTTTACATACAACCTTGTATCAGTCAAATCTATTCCGTTTTGACACTGATTCTTACCCGTAGGGTAATCTGAATTATAAGTGAAAAATATACTGTATCTTCAAAGTTCACGTTTTTGAATCTCACTCAAACTTGATGTAAAACTAATAAATTTATTTCAGGCATTTTACGTTACGTTTCTTACAATTAGGTAACTTATTATATCATGTAATGGTTAATTGAAAATATTTACATTTCGGCTCTTTGTAAATAACGGTATCATCTGTACAGCTTAGGTTTAGAACTCTTAGGGCCTGTTTCACAATGTACGGATAAGTCCTAAATAAGTTCCAAATTAGCTATTTATTACTTATTGGTAGGATAAACACTATTGTTGCGTTTCACGACTGTCAGATAGCGCTATTCGTCACATAAAGTCCATCTTAAGTTATGAGTCCGATGAAGTGTCAAATAGCACAATTTATATTCCAAATACTTTCTGTGTTGCATAGCTATTTGGTACTTTATCTATACATTGTGAAACAGACCCTTAGGCTTTAAAAAGCAGCTCTGTTTCAGTCACTTTAGTCAACTAGTTAATAATAATAATAAATACAAAAGTAGAATATACAGCTTGCATAATATTTTTCTTGCTATCCTAATATCCCAACTTTCCTACCATTGATCGGAAACCCATCACCGGTAAAGGCCTCCGCCAGCATTTTCCAAATATCGCTGTCCATGGCTTTCTGTCTCCATTCGCTTGCTTGTGTTTCTTCTATCCGTCTTTTTTGGGGCGTTTTCTTCCTCTTTCCCGTGCTCCTTTCCATACACTTCAAATAGTCCATTAATAATTTTAATTGTCGTTGTTTGAAAATGTCGAAACATTCTAGTTTTATCAGCAAATTATTTAAATGAAGCGCATAACAGGAATTAAAGCGATAAAAGGTGCAAAAACCCTCTAAAGGTACATTACAGCATAAAATACTATGAATTTACAGAATACTTGTTCATTCGAGGGCTTAATTGATAAAAATTGCAAAACAAAATTGTATTATAACATGCACCACTATGTAATGGCGACATTGCACGATACATGCTTTATTCGCGTTTTTCATTAATTAACTGACTAATTTTTTGTAAACTTAAATTGTATTAATTTAAGTTTGAATTCTAAACCAAATTTGTAGATATATATAGGATTAGAAGAAGAGATTTTTCAATTAATTATAATAAAGATATAATACATTGATTGAGTTCGACACGGTTGTATTAAATTTTGATTGATCGTAAAATTATTCAAAAAACACTAATTATGATTTTACAATAATTAAAAAAAAAAGCTAGAGTATCAATTGTTAGATTAAAAAGTTTACAATAACCGGTTTGTTTAATAGGGCTGTGTAAAAATTCATCGCAACCGATTTATCAATTCTCATTTATTTATTCACACTTCTAAAGACAGTGCAATAGGCGGCTTTATTGCTTAAACAATTATTTCCAGTCAACATCAGCTAAAAGACAGCTAGAAAATAACACAGCGAGCAGCTCGATCTTTTGGCGTTGCGTAGAGATGTGGAGACCCCACATCTCTGCAGGCTCTGCATCTTCTAGCACATTTATCATGGAGAGTGTTTGGAGAAGTTGTTCGGATGAATACCTGGAGCGTTTCATCGTCAGACGTCAAGGCAGAATAGGACATTTCATCCCTGTCACGACGTCCGCCGTTCCGCAATTTTTTTTCCGCAAATTCCGCAACCCAATTCTCCTTCGGTTCCATCAAAAAAAGAGCGTACCAATTCTTAAAATTCTGCCAACGCACTTAACAGCCTGTTCTGTAAAAAAAAGTGGAGATTCATTCACTAGTTTGCAAATATAAACGTATTCAAGAGAGAAATGTACTACATT